GCCGGCCCCCTTACCCGCCATAGAGACCACCCCAAAATCTTCCCCGCTCACCTGGGAGGGGCGGCGGACGCGCCCTCAGCACATCCCGGGAGGCGGAACTGGACGAAGGAGCGCGGGACACGGACACCGGCGGCACTTCCTCAACCGGGGCACCGCGCAGTAACGCGCCTCGCCATTGGCTGGCGCCGGGGCACGTGACTGCCGAGAGCGCGCATGCGCACAGGGACGCGCCGGTCCCCTGAGGCCACGTGGGCGGTGCCCAGAGGAGAGCGCCGCTGGTAATTAAAGGCTTTGGGTAATTAAAGGAGAGTCCTTGAGCACGGGCGCTTGGGAAATAGGGTGGGGCTGGTCATGCCCCCGGGTCACCTGGCCGGAAGTTTCCCTCAGTCGTACAAAGGAAAACGAGGCAGGAGACCTGTCACGGTGCAAGGGCTTGATGAAATTAATGGTTCTAATGCTAAAATTAGAAGTGCTTAAGGGTTTTTCCTTGTTGTTGAAGCTCTACAAAGTGAGATGAGACAGAATACTTTAGTTGAAAAGTGCCTACGATTGCCTAGTCCAACTGCATGACCAAAAGTTACCATTATTATTCTGGGTTCAACTAGATGAACCGGAGGTTGGAGTAGGTGATCTCGAGGACCCTTCCGAACCTAACTACTACACGATTATTATTAAGTTTTCTTTTCCAGAGTTTCCAGCTGTTTCATATCAGATTTACCCCCTTCTAGCTAATCTGCCCTTTTTTTGCAGGTAACACATCTCCTCCCATGAGGACAGCAGCAGCAGAAGTCTTTGTCACCATCTCTGATGTGCAGCAACAACCCCTTTTTTTCCTGTTTTTTCATCCCGCAGAGGGGGCTGAGAAAAGCACAGCAGGAAAAGGGGCTGGACACCACGTTTGGCTGTTATGGTAAGAGCAGCATGCTCTGCAGTCCTTCCCAGGATGATTCCACGCATTCCTGTGTTGCATGTGCAGCTGGCCAGCACGGCGCTGCCAGCCTTTGACCAGTCCTCCAGCCAACACAAAGAAAASACCCCAGATCTCACCCTAAATTTTTTCCAAAGCACTGATTGAGGTGTGTAAAATGCATTTCCTCAGCAGGGAGGTTAATGGGTCACTGCATCCATGGAGTTTTGTCCCCACCCCAGCACAGGCCTAATAAGTTGGACCTTCTAATCACTGGCAAGAGAAGAATCCAATTGTTTGAAATTGTTCTAATTCTTTTAATTGTTTGAAAAAGAAAGCGGCAGATTTGTTTTATGCTTCTTAAATTGTTTCCTTTAATAGGAAGTGCTGCTTTACTCTACCTTGTGCTTCCGAAACAAATGTTTGTGTTCCAAAAATATACAGTGTACACATACTCTGTTGCTATAGATACAAACATTTACAAAGAAACAAGCAGGCTGGAGTGGAATAGCGTGGAAAAATCACACGAGGCCTTCCTTCCTGGCCCTCCYAGAGCCAGAGCAGCCGGGCTCACGGTGCTGTAAACAGATCCGGGCTGCTGCAAAATACATGACTGGGAAACATCATACCCTTGGAGCAAAATAACTTCCACACACTGCAGAGGTTTGGAGTTGCTGTTGCCTATTCCCATGCCCTCCTTTTGCCCCTATGATCTGCCTCAGTAAGTGCATCCCACATCCAAACCCACCTTAGYCCCCCATGTGCTGCCCCAGGGCTGATCCCGGGTGCGGGCGGAGCTCAGCTTTGCTCCAAAGAGGAAAATGTGATTCCCAGGCGTTTGGTTTTTGTCTGTGAGGCTTCCTCAAACTCAGGGAAGCTGGGACACTCTGCTGGCTAGCGGATGGGCCGGTATGGGAATGTCATTCCTGGGATGAAGGTCTGCACGGGGTGAGCTGGCAGCGCGGGGTGTGCCGGCAGCGCGGGGTGCGCGGCGTGTGCGGGGTACGCCAGGGGAGGAGTGTGGATGTGCGGGTAAAACCCTGGTGGCAGAGCCCCGTGGGTCGGCTGCTGCACTGGACCTGAAATCACCAGCTGGAGCAGGCTGTGGAGACAAATTCAGACAGGAGGGAGGATTGTTAGAGGAGCTTTTGTCATGGGTCTAAGGACAATTCACACCTGACACACAGCACTGCTGAGAGCCAAGAGGACAGTGACTCAATTATGTTCTYTATAGCTTCCAGAAGACTTCTTTTCCCTTTCCCCCCCTTTTTTTTTTCTTTAAACTCTGCTCTTTGCAAAAGGGCAAGAAGCAATTGAACTTAGGGTCAGGTAAAAGCAGTAGGGARTTGGGGATGGGACAGCTCTGGGGCAGGTTCCTCGCTGGCATTTCATTTCCCTTTTCTGTGAATTTGTTCTAACACAGGCTGGGCAAGGTCACTTCTAAAGATGCAAGCCCCTGAAGCCCACTTCAATCAGCAATCTGGGGAAGAAGCAGCCAGCACTGTGTCACCTTCAGCCTTGTGCTAGAGTGCATGTGCATAAAGGCCAAATTCCACAMAGACCAATTTTTAGAGGAGACTTTGTCTCAATAGCCCTCGAGTGACTTGGAAAATGCATCAAAGTCAACACAGCTGAAAAAAGGTCTCTTACTTGTTATGTGGTAGCCTGGAACACACGGACCTCAAGTCATCTGAAAAAGAACAGAAGATTAAGGATAAAGCAGAAATTGGAGTAGTTTTCCTCTCCACTGTCTTTTCCAGGTTACTGAATAATCAATAATTTTACTGAATAATTACTGATTAGTGAATAATCAGTCATCTGTCATCATCATCAGTCAGCAACAGCCCCAGAATCCTTCTCTCAGATCCAAAACCTCCATAGGACAGAAAACCTTTCTCCATTTCATAAACTTTCCCCACCAGACACTTTACTGTATGTTTGACATTTAAGGCAGACAAACCTTAGGACAGATTTTGCAAGAAGTAACTGAGACATAAAAAGCACAATGTGTGACTCTGCCCATAGAATGTGGCCATTTATGATAAGAGAGGCACCAGGTCAAAGCAAAACAGTGCCTGTTTTGTATTGGTTTGGGGTTTTTAAAACATTACWGTAAAAAATGGCTTGGGTTTCTTTTTTTTTTTTTTTTATTGGAATCTACCAATTAGAAATTGCATCTTTTTTACCATCTCCAAACTTCTGCTAAAGCAGAACAGCTAGAACCAAGGAATTAAACAACATATCCCACAGATAGTATTTTCAGGAAAAGCTTGAGAACAAAATCCCACCTTTGTAACCAAATACAATCCCAAACCACTGAAATATCTGGTATTTCAGCTGCCCCTTACACTGAATTACCTACCACAGTAACTGCTCAGAATGTACCAGCTAAGAACAAACACAGCTGAAATCAGCCCTCAGATCAAAAAACTCCAGTTTCTGCTTGTTCTTATTACACTCAGAGTTATTTTATAAAAGATTAGGAAGAAGAGTATTGAAATTTGACCAGCAGCACTGGTTCAGCCAGGACAAAAGCATGAGATCTGAACTCTCTGCAGCTGGGGTCTGCACAAACTGTCCTAGCTGTTAGAGAGCTTCAAGCCTAAAATKACCTGTTTTCAAGAGAATATAACAAGAAAAGCGTCTGTGTGGCTGACCCTGGACTGTGTGGGGTCAATTCCCCTTTATATTTCTGCCTGTCTTTTGGAAAGAACAGACTTTGGAGCCAGGAAAGGCAGACAAAAGCCATGTTAACAGCCCTTTTTTACTAAGTTTAACTGAATTTGGACACACTGTAATGGGGTCTCATTACAGATGAGCTGAAGGCCCAGAAATTCCAGATGAAGAGTTTTTATTTGCTTTTCAAATTCCTTGCCTAGCACACCCACCCAGGGGTTTATGTGCTTCATGSACTCTCCTTCAGCAGGCAAACTCAGAGACGTTAAACTGAAGCAAAATTAAACAGACAATTTAAAGCTTTAAAGTGCTTTTGAAAYAGCTGCAGACAAATCTGAGGGGAACAAATTTGTCCCCTTGCAAGACACCCAGATACAACCCCTTGTGCATAGTGCAGGGCTGGGGATCAATCTCCAGCTCTGCAAAGCAATGCCTGACTCACCCACTGCAGTGATCTCACCTTTCTCACTCTCCACGCTGCGATTCTTCCTAAACAATTTCCAGCACTATCACTTTCTAAGAGGGGCAAACTATTAACTGTGCTATGAACACGTTGATCTTTGCTCCCCTCACCCCAAAACTGCCTCTTACAACTTCTGCACCCTGAGGAGAAGAATCCCRTGCCAGGTCTGTGCCAGCCCCACAGACAACTCACCTCTGGTGCACAGAAGTGCTCCTGATGCCATGGCCACTTGCAAAGCCTGAGCCAGCCTGTCCAGAGCCAGTTCAATTTCTTTGGATGCATTGAGAGGATTGAGTTCATCAGACAGTCTGTTAATGTCCTCCACCAGTGGAACCACGTGGTCAAAGGGCACCAGCCCCAGGCGCCCATAAAGGTTTTTCTCTGTTAAATGCCCCTGGAGCATCATRAGAACCTGCAGGACACTCAGATGCAGCTTGGAATACAGCTGGTGGCAATCCCTGTCTTCTCCTGAAGCCGAGTCCTTGGCAATTTTGCTGGGAGGGTGTCCATTGGAGAGAGAGGCTTTCTTCTTCCTTTTGTAGGCCAAGGGGGCCTTCACACACCAGCGGATGAGTCCGGTCAGCGGGGTGAGCTCCAAAAATCCTATTGGCAGGTTGGCTGCAATGGGGGTGTTCAGAAAGGTGATGAGGATCAAKCGAGGGTCTTCAAAGATCCAGGAGACGATCAGCTCGAGCAGATCCGAGGGAGGGATGAGGTCATCTGGAGATAGGAAAGTTATTGTGGGATAAGCTGAGCCTTGCACTGAGGCACAGGACTTTAATTTAGGCTCTGATTAATTAGCCTCTCACACACACCCGTCCTATGCTGTCACAATTTCAAACCATCCCCAGATGTGCTGTTTTTCTCAAGACACCAAAGGTAGTTTRTTCCAGGGAAGACACAACCATGTTCCTGTCAACTTCACCTTCCCCACCTATTCTGAATACACCACCAAACACTGACATTTATCCCCATTCCCAGCAAAGCTTCTTCTGTCATTTTCTTCTCTCCCACCCATCATCTGCTCATTTTTTCCCTAAATTCACTCTCTACTTATCCCTTGCCAGAAGAAGTACAATGGGCAAGGGAAATAAGAAAAACTTGTTGGATGAAGAAAAGGAAGTGCCAAT